TGTGCGTGTGGAATATTTATACAAATGCGAAGTCAACATTAGGTGATGAGTAGCTAAACAATATGCATAATTCTTTTTTATTATTCTTAATGTTTTTTATCTTGGGCTAAAATCTGACCATAAGTTTTGTAATTATTATTCCCTAAGTTTCTCTGTCACATTCGATCAGCTGAGCAAGAAAATACAGGTTTACTTTTATTTTTCTTTTACTTTTGTTGGATTTCTTGGCTATCAACCAATGGATCCTATTTATTCTATCAATCTATATAAAGTCATAAAGTTTTGTCTCCCTTAAAAAAGCAATTACTTTATTCATTATTTTTTCACCGTTTGATAGAAGATTTGATAGTGTTGAATCTTTGTTTTTCATTCTGAAATAATTTATTATATGTTTTCGTTGGTTATTATATTTTATGCATGATGTGATTTATTGTTATGTTGGTGTTACATAACTGGCATCTTGGAGGGTATTTCTTTTCTATGTAAGGAGTGAGGTAGGTAAGTTTTGAAGAGGGCGATATTATTGCCCTCTTCAATGATGTTATTGATTTTGAAAGACGTTTTTTCTCATTTATTTTATTGATAGTGGACCAAACCTCTGATGTTTTTGTGTTACTGTTTACTGTAGAGACAAAGCTCCGCCAGGAGTCTCATTTTGCTTGTCTTATTACTCTACGAGCCCTAGCTCTTGCTAGTTTGTAATTGCAAAAGTTCTCATTAGTGATGTTATTTTTGAAAAGCCTGTAGGTCTTATTGCGTCGGCACAGCGCCCTGCGGCAATCTGGTGTCCACCATGGAACTCTATGCTTAACGCTATCTGTCGAAGTTTTAGGAATGGATAGCAAAGCTGCTTCTAAAATCGAATTTTGAATATTGTTTACTTTATCCTCAATGGTTTCTCCAACTATTTCGAGCTTGACACTCCTTGTGACGGCGACCCAGTCTGCTCTTTTTACGTTAAATTTAGGCGCTGAAGGCTTTCTCACTGTGTCGCATGAATATTTAATCAAAATAGGAAGATGATCGCTTCCCAACGAGTCATCAATGGTGTGCCACAGGCACTTGGCTGCTACTGATGAAGAGACCAGTGATAGGTCAATAAAGCTCAAATTACCGGTATTATCGTCCACCCGCGTGGGACTACCATCATTCAGAAGGACTATTTCAGACTCATTAATCAACTTAACTACTTGCTCACTTCTACCATCCACCCACAGGGAACCCCATAATGTATGATGAGCATTAAAATCACCTAAAATTACTTTATTTAGTGGCAGACGTTCCTGAAGAGCAAAGAGCTCATCATAGATTATCACTGTATCAGGTGGACAATAAACTGAACATATAGCCAGATATGTGCCATTAATTTTTACTTTGCATGCGATAAACTCCAAAGTAGAATCCAAAGTCAGGGAGGTTTTTGTGTATGTACATGGCGACTCCGCCTCCACCCCTACCCTCACAATCCTTCCGACACAGATGGTAGTTCAGCGAAACGAACTCGTCAGAGATGAATTGCGTTAAATGCGTTTCTTGGAGAACTATAATATCAGGAGCATAGGACGAGGCTAATAATTTAAGGTCATTTACTTTAGATTTAATACTTCGACAGTTCCATTGTATAATGGTCGACGCGAAGATTACGCTTCATGGGGTTTGGAAGTGCCTTGTCCACCAGTTTTAATTTTCTTTTTATGGGAGGGAGGCGCCTCCTCTCCCTCGCTTCCCGGGGACCTCTCACGGGATGGTTTGGAGACAGAAGCCTCCAGATTGCGATCTGCTTCTCTCTCGAGAAACCGATCGCGAGCCAGACGAAGTCCTCACAGGAGTAGCCCGGACGGGAAGGTGCGCTCCGGACTGTGATTCAGTATCATCCTCCTTATGATGTTTATGCTGGGTTGATGCAGCCATTTGATCAACCAATTTAGTCAGTTCATAAACTTTAATAATTCTTTAACAGTTTGTTTGAGTTCAGCAATTTCCTTATCTTTAGCTCCAAGCTGTTGACTGACATCACTTGTACTAGGGGTGTTGTTAGTTACTGCTGCAACATAAGAAGTATCAGGTTTGTGTGTCAAACTTTCAACTTTCCTCTTAGCTTCAGTATAACTAACTTTATGTTTCCTCATATATGTTAATGTCTCCTTCTTCAGGATGTTGCACTCAGCAGATCCTGACTGATGGGGACCTCCACAGTTAGCTCATTTGGAAATCTGGCTAGTACATGTGATGATGTCATGGGCTTCAGCACATTTACGGCAAGTAAACTTAATAGAGTCTTTATCAATACATCTTATTGAGGTGTGTCCGAATTTTTGGCATCTATTACAATGCATTGGCTTTTGGACATAAGGTCTTACTTGAACACGTTCATAACCGACATTGACATACTTTGGGATTTTATTCAAGGCAATGGTCAAAATACACAGTCCAGTTTTTGTATGCATATTCCCGTCCTTCTTCATACAATGAACGTCCACTACGTCTTTGTCCTTCAAGC